TGTAGCAAGGTCATGGAGAGTCATCAGGAGGAGAGTGGTGGGGCACCTGGGAAAGAAAAAGTGCATTAAACGACAACCTAGTACGGTTTCAGGAAGGAAAATCTGTGTCACATAACCCTACTAGAGTTTTATGGGGGGGGGGAAATCCCCCAAGGTGACAGAAGTATGACAAGGAGAGAGAGGGGTGGATCGACTGCTTTTATGGACTGCAAAAGGGCCTTCGACAAGTTCCTCACAAGAGGTTACTGGCAAAAGCTTAGAATAAGATCAGGCCACATAACAGGAAAGGCCACTGCAATGGTCAGAGATATACCTGACCAGGGAGGCAAAACAACGAGTTCATGGTACGTGACGACGGTGTCAGAGTGGCGCGCTTGTGACAAGCGGGATCCACAGGGTTAGTCTGGACCTGTGCTGTTCTTAGGTATATGTGAACGACATAACGGAAGGGATAGACTCAGAAGGGTCTTGTTTGCAGATGATGGAAGTTAATGAGAAGAATCAAATCGGATGAGATCATGAGGAAACTACAAAGAGACCTGGACAGGCTACAAGCCTGGTCCAGAAACTGGCTCCTTGAGTTTAACCTGCCAAATGCAAAGTCATGAAGATTGGGGAAGGGCAAAGAAGACCGCAGGACACAATATAGTTTAGGATGGCCAAAGGACTGCAAACCTCACTCAAGGCAAAAGATTGGGGGTGAGTATAACACCGAGCATATTCCTGAGGCGCACATAAATCGTATAACTGCTGCAGCATAGGGCGCCTGGAAACCTACGGATAGCGTTCCGTACTCAATAGGAGGTCGTTCAAGGACACTGTATACCATTTACGTCAGGGCATACTGGAGTGTGCTGCACAGTTTGGAATCCACACCTAGTCAAGACACGTCAAGAAAGTTAGAGAAAGTGCAAAGGTTTGCAACAAGACTAGTCCCAGAGCTACGGGGATTTGTCGTACGAAGAATGGTTGAGGGAAATCGGCCTGACGGACATGGGGCCTGGAGGGTCAGGGTAGACATGATAACGACATATAAAATACTGCGCAGAATAGACACGGTGGCAAAGAAGACTGGTGTTCCAGAGATGGGACAACATACACAAGAGGTCACAATTGGAAGTTAGAAGACTCATATGAATCAAAGGGATGTTAGGAAGTATTTCTTCATCATAGAGTAGTCGTCGTGATATAGTTAGAAAGTGAAGTGTGGAGCGGGGGAACCATACATAGTTTTAAGGCGAGGTATGATAAAGTCTGGAGCACGGGAGAGAGGACCTAGTTAGCAATCAGTGATACGAGGCGGGGCCAGGAAGCTATGAGAATCGACCCTGCAACCACAAAATAGGTGAGTACAAATAGGTGAGTTACAAACACACACACACAACACACACCACACACCACACACACTCACACCCACACACAACAACAACACAGACACACACACACAGACACACACACACATAGAACACACCCACACACACACACCACACACACACACACCACACACACTCACACACACACACCTAAACACACAGACACAGACACACAGACACAACACACACACACACACACACACACACACACACACACACACGCTACACAACACACACGCACACACACAACACACACACACACACACACACACACACACACACACTCACACACACCCAGGATCAAATGGAAGGACAAGCACACCCCCCAGACGAACACTGCAGAAGGAGAAGGACTCCAGCCACGACACCCCCAATGGCAGAACTGAACATCCAAAACCAACCATCACACCGATCCCTCTGTTTACACCCCCCGCCCACAGTGTACAGTATTAGAACAGAAGTTGAGGTTTGGTACACAAATGGCAGATGTGATTACGAATAAACATGAGGAATGGCAGAAAGATCAATGAAGAAGTCCCCAGACATCATAGCAGTTACAGAAAAACAAATACTCATGGAGACAATAACAGATTCTATCTTCCCACCAGGATACCAGATCATGAGGAAAGATAGAAGGGCTGGGGGGGAGGTGGGTTGCTCTGCTCGTAAAAAACAGATGGAAATTCGAGAAAATGAAGGAATGATGAGCCGGGAGAAAGAGACTACATAGCAGGTACTCTTTCAGGTCGTGGGAACACAAAAGTGGTCATTGCAGGTGATGTATAATCCACCACAGAACTGCAGGAGACCAGAGAGGAATATGAAGAGGAGCAAAGAGCAATGGTGGACAGACACACTTGCTGAGGGTGGCAGAAGAGCTCACTCCGCAGAGACAAAGTTGCTGGTTATGGGGGGGATTTCAACCACAGGGAGATTGATCTGGGAAAAACCTGGAGCACATGGGGGTCCGAACATGGAGAGCCAGGATGTTGGAGTGGTGCTGGAAAACCTCATGCACCAAATGTCATAAGGACACCTCCAGCGTGAGAGGGGAGGATTGAAAACCAGGGCAAAGGGGGGGGGAAAATTTGGACCTTGGTTGTTCACCTGGGCAGTCAGACATTGAGGACATCAAGTATGGAGAGTCCCTAGGAGCTAGCGACCACGTGAGTCTGTCCGTGCTTTGAATACATAGTGAGCTGCAAGGTGGACGAGAATGACAATGGTAGAATGGGAAAAACCTGGACTATAAAAGAGGGGACTACATACGGAGTTGAAGAACTTCCTGCGGGAGTTCCCAGTGGCGACAGAGAACTGGCAGGAAAGCCAGTAAATTGAATGATTGGAATATGTAGCAACTAAATGCAAGGAGGCAGTGGAAAGGTTCATTCCAAGGGCAACAGTAACAACGGGGAAGACCAGAACAAGCCCCTGGTTGCACCCGACGGTTGTAAGGAGGCAAACAAGTGCAATAGAGAATGGAAAAAGTACAGAAGGCAGAGAACACACGAAAAATAGGGAGATCTGTCGCATGAGCAGGAATGAGGTACGCACAGGTAAGGAGGGAGGCCCAGCGCAGTATGAAAATGACATAGCATCGAGGAATCAAGACTGACCCGAAACTGTTGTTTGTAGCCACATAGGTGGGAAGACAACAGTCAAGGACCAGTGTGATCAGATTAAGGACAGAAGGTGGAGAACTCACAGAAATGATCAGGAGTATGAGAGAGCTGACAGGAGATTTAAGGAAGTTTTTAGTAGAGACAGGAAGGGTGTGGGAAGACAGACAGACGGAACATCAGAGGGAATATACCAACAAGTGTTGGATGGCACAAACGAATACAACTGAGGAGGAGGTGTAGAAGCTCTTAAGTGAACTTGACATCCTCAAAGTCGATGGACCGGACAACATCTCCCCAGGTGTCCTTAGAGAAGGTGCAGAGATGCTGTGTGGCCTCTAACCACAATCTTCAAACACATCCCTTGGAAACTGGGCAAACTACCTGAGAAATGGAAGGGACAGCTATGTAGTCCCCATATTTGAAGAAAGGAAACAGAAACGAGGCACTAAACTACAGACCTGTGTCTCTGACATGTATCGTGTGCAAAGTCATGGAGATGCTTATCAGGAGGGAGTGGTCGAACACCTGGAAGGAACAAGATTAATAAATGGAAACAGCATGGGTTCTTGGGAAGGCACATGTTGTATCACAACCTCTGAGTTTTATGACAAGGTAAACAGAATAAGACACGAGAAGAGAGGGTTGGGTAGATTGCGTTTTCCTAGACTGCAGGAAGGCCTTTTTTTGAACGTTCCCACAGAGATTAGTGCAGAGCTGGAGGGAATCAGGCACACGTAAAAAAAAGGGCACTGCAATGGATAAGGGAAATACTGACAGGGGGCAGCAACGAGTCATGGTACGTGGAAGAGGTATCACAGTGGCGCCTGTTACGAGCGGGGGTCCCACAGGGGTCCAGTTTAGGACCAGTGTTATTTTTGATTATTGTGAACGACATGATGGAAGGAATAGACTCTGAAGTGTCCCTATTCGCAGATGAAGTGAAGTTGATGAGAAGAATTTAAATCGGGTACGAGGATGAGCAGGACTGCAAAGAGACCTGGACAGGCTGGACATGTGGTCAGGAACTGGTTCTCGAATTCAATGCCTGCCAAATGCAAAGTCATGAAGATTGGGGAGGGGCAAAGAAGGACCGCAGACAGAGTATAGGGTAGGTGGACAAAGACTAAGACTCACTCAGGGAGAGAAAGACCTTGGGTGACATAACACGAGCACAATCACCGGGAGGCACACATCAACCAAATAACCGCTGCTAGCATACGGGGCCTGGCAAACCTGAGAATAGCGTTCCGGATACCCTTAATAAGGTATCGTTCAGGACACTGTACACTGTGTATGTTAGGCCCATAATGGAGTATGCAGCACAGTTGGAACCCACCACCTGGTCAAGCAACATCAAGAAGTTAAGAGAAAAGTACAAAGGTTGCAACATGGCTAGTCCTGAGTCAAGGGAATGTCGTTACGAGGGGAAAGGTTAAGGGGAAATCGGACTGACGACACTGGAGGGGGACAGAAGGGTCAGGGGGATGATAACGACATACAAGATACTGCGGGGAATAGACAAGGTGGGCAGAGAAATAGGATGTTCCAGAGAGGGGACACTGGGGACAAGGGGTCACAAATGGAAGCGAAGACTCATGACGAGTCACAGGGACGTTATGGAAGTATTTTCTTCAGTCATTAGAGGTTGTCAGCAAGTGGAATAGCCTAGAGCAAGTGAAGTATTGAGGCAGGAACCATACATAGTTTAAGAAAGAGGTATGACAAAAGCTCAGGGAGACAGGAGAGAGAGAGAGATGATCCAGTAGCGATATCAGTGAAGAGGCGGGGCCAGAGCTGGGTCTCGACCCCTGCAAACCACAATTTTTTTAGGTGAGTACAATTAGGTAGTACACAGGACACACCACTACACCTCACCACACCCACACAACACACACAACAAGACACTCACCGACACACACATACACACACACACACACACACACACGCAGCATAGTCACACACACACACACACACACGCGCATGCGCAGCGCGCGCGCGCAACTACCTAGAACCATGGGCGTGGACATTATCGCTGGTTTACGTGAAGCCCAACGCCCACACCGACACACCAGCCACCAGGTTGAACGTGGGCGTGTAGGCCAGTAGCGATGCCGAAGACGCATTCATCAACAGGTAGATAAAGAAGGCTGGTCGACGCCCACACCTGGGTGCGAAGGACAGGTGCTCAGGTGGTACACTGTGTGGTAAAGACAGTGTTGAGGTGGTACACCTGTGTGGGAAGACAGGTGTTCTGGTGGACACTTGTGTGCGAAGACAGGTGCTCAGGTGGTAACCTGTGGTGGGGGAAGAAGGTGTTGAGGGTTGGTACACTGTGTGGGAAGAAGAGTGTTCAGGTGGGACACCTGGTGTGCGAAGACAGGTGCCCTCCAGGTGGGTTACACCTGTGTGGGGAAGTACATGTGTTGAGGTGGTTACACCTTGTGTGGGAAGGACAGGTTGTTGAGGTGGTTCACCCTGTGTGGGTGAAGAACAGGTGTTCAGGTGGGGACACCTGTGTGGGGAAAGACAGGTGGTTGAGGTGGGACACCTGGGTGGGAAGACAGGTGGTGAGGTGGGACACTGTGTGGGAAGACAGGTGTTGAGGTGGTACACCTGTGTGGGAAGACGGTGTTCAGGTGGTGGACACCTGTGTGGGAAGACAGTGTGTTAGGTGGGACATCTGTGTGGGAAGACAGGTGTTCAAGGTGGGACTCTGTGTGGGAAGACAGGTGTTCAGGTGGGACACCTGTGTGGGAAGCAGGTGTTCAGGTGGGACACCTGTGTGGGAAGAAGGTGTTCAGGTGGACACTGTGTGGAGACAGGTGATTCAGGTGGGACACCTGTGTGGGAAGACAGGTGCTTCAGGAGGGACACCTGTGGGGGAAGGAAGGTGTCAGGTGGGACACCTCGTGTGGGAAGACAGGTGACTCAGGGGGACACCTGTGTGGGAAGACAGGTGTTCAGGTGGGCCACCTTGTGTGGGAAGACAGGTGTTCAGTCAGGTGGGACCCACCTTGCCATTGACGGGAAAGACAGGTGTTCAGGAGGGACACCTGTGTGGGAAGACATGTGTTTCAGTTGGGACACCTGTTGTGGGAAGGAAGGTGTCAGGTGGGACACCTGTGTGGAAGACAGGTGCTCAGGTGGGAACCTGTGTGAGGAAGACAGGTGCTCAGGTGGGACCCACTTGTGTGGGAAGACATGTGTTCAGGTGGTATTACACCTGTGTGGGAAGACAGGTGTTCGGTGGTACACTGTGTGGGGAGGACAGGTGCTCAGGTGGGACACTGTGTGGGTAAGACCGGTGCTCAGGTGGGGACACTTTGTGTGGGAAAGGACAGGTGTTCAGGTGGGACACCTGGTGTGGGAAGACAGGTGTTTAGGTGGGACACTGTGTGGGAGACAGGTGATCAGGTGGGGACACTTGTGTGGGAAGACAGGTGTTCAGGTGGTAACCACCTGTGTGGGAACGGGGAAAACAGGTTGTTCAGGTGGCTACACCTGTGTGGGAAGACAAGTGCTCAGGTGGTACAACAGTGTGGGAACAAAGGACAGGTGATCAGGTGGTACACCTGTGTGGGGAAGACAGGTGGTGGGTGGGACACCTGTGGGGAAGGACAGGTGTTCAGGTGGTCTACACCTGTGTGGGAAGACAGGTGTTCAGGGTGGGACACCTGTGTGGGAAGACAGGTGTTCAGGAGGAAACCTGTGTGGTAAGACAGGTGTTCAGATGGCGACACCTGTGTGGGAAAGTACAGTGTGCTTCAGGTGGGACACCTGTGTGGGAAGGACAGGTGCTCAGGTGGACACCTGTGTGGGAAGACAGGTGCTCAGGCTGGGGACACTTTGTGGACAGGACAGGTGTTCAGGTGGTTACACCTGGGTGGGAAGGACAGGTGTTCAGGTGGTACACCCGCGTGTGGGAAGACAGGTGCTCAGGTGGGACACCTGTGTGGGAAGACAGGGTGCTCAGGTGGGGAGCTTGGTGGGGAGACAGGTGTTCAGGTGGGACACCTGTGTGGGAGACAGGTGTTCAGGTGGGGACACTGTGTGGGAAGACAGGTGCTCAGGTTGGGACACTTGTGTGGGAAGACAGGTGTTAGGTGGGGTTACACCTGTGTGGGAAGACAGGTGTTCAGGTGGTAACATGTGTGGAAGACACGAGTCAGGTGGTACAACAGTGTGGGAAGACAGGGGTCAGGTGGTACACCTGTGTTGGGAAGACAGGTGGTGAGGTGGGGACACCTGTGTGGGAAAAGACAGGTGCTCAGGGTGGGGACACCTGTGGTGGGGGAAAAGACAGGTGCTAGGTGGTACACTGTGTGGGAAGACCCAGGTGGTTCAGGTGGGGACACCTGTGTGGAAGTACAGGTGTTCAGGTGGGACACCTGTGTGGGAGACATGTGTTCAGGATGGACACCTGTGTGGGAAGACCAGGTGCTTCAGGTGGTACAACACCTGTGTGGAAAGGAAAGACAGGTGCTCAGGTGGGACACCTGTGTGGGGAAGACAGGTGTTCAGGTGGGACACCTGTTTGGAAGACAGCTGTTCAGGTGGGACACCTGTGTGGGAAGACAGGTGTTCAGGAAAGGGGACTCCTGTGTGGGAAGACAGGTGTTTAGGTGGCGCACCTGTGTGCGGGAAGACGGTGCTCAGGTGGGACACCGGTGTGGGAAGACACGGTGTCAGGTGGGGACACCTGTGTGGGAGACAGGTGATCAGGTGGGACACTTGATGTGGGAAGACAGGTGGTCAGGTGGTTTACAACCTGTGGGGAAGACAGGTGTTCAGGTGGTACACCTGTGTGGGGAAGGACAGGTGCTCAGGTGGGACCCACTTGTTTGGGAAGACAGGGTTCAGGTGGGACACTGTGTGGGAAGACAGTGTTGTTCAGGTGGGAACTCCTGTGTGGGAAGAAGAAAGTGATCAGGGGTGGGACCACTTGATGTGGGAAGGCAGGTGTTCAGGTGGATACACTGTGTGGGAGGTAGGTGTTCAGGTGGTACACCATGTGTGGGAAGGACAAAGTGCCTCAGGTGGTACAACAGTGTGGGAAGACAGAGTGGGTCAGGTGGTACACCTGTGTGGGAAGACAGGTGGTGAGGTGGGACACCTGTGTGGGAAAAGACAGGTGTTCAGGTGGGTACACTGTGTGGGAAGACAGGTGTTCAGGTGGGACACCTGTGTGGGAAAGACAGACGTGTTCAGGAGGGACACCTGTGTGGTTAAGAAGGTGTTCAGGTGGGACAACCTCTGTGTGGGAAAAGGTGCTCAGGTGGGACACCTGTGTGGGAAGACAGTAGTGACTCAGGTGGGACACCTGTGTGGAAAGTCAGGTGCTCAGGTGGGACACTTGTGTGGGAAGGACAGGTGTCAGGTGGTAACATGTGTGGGAAGACAGGTGCTTCAGGTGGTACAACCTGTGTTGGGAAGACAGGGTTGCTCAGGTGGGACACCTGTGTGGGGAAGACAGGTGCTCGGTGGTGGGGACATTTGTGTGGGGAAGACAGGTGTTCAGGTGGGACACCTGTGTGGGAAGACAGGTGTTTCAGGGGGGGGGGTTGGGAACCTGTGTGGGGAAGACAGTGCGCAGGTGGGGAACAGTGTGTGGGAAGACAGGTTGTTCAGGTGGTACAACCTGTGTGGGAAGACCGGTGTTCAGGTGGGTCACTGTGTGGGAAGACAAGTGCTCAGGTGCTGGGACAAACAGTGTGGGAAGGGACAGGTGGTCAGGTTGGTACACTGTGTGGGAAGACAGGTGGTGAGGTGGGACACCTGTTGTGGGAAGAGAGGCTGCTCAGGTGGGACACCTGTGTGGGAAGAACAGGTGGTTCAGGTGGTACAACTGTGTGGGAAGACAGCGGGCTCAGGTGGTACACCTGTGTGGGAAGACAGGGTGGTCAAGTGGTACACCTGTGTGGAGAGGACAAGTGCTATGGTGGTTACATCAGTGTGGGAAGACAGGTGGTCTGGTGGTAACACCTGCGTCGGAAGACACTTGGTGAGGTGGTTACCACCTGTGTGGGAAGACAGGTGGTTCAGGTGTACACCTGTGTCGGAAGACACGTGGTGAGGTTTGGTACACTGTGTGGAAGACAGGTGGTGAGGTGGTCACCTGTGTGGGAAGACAGGTAGGTGAGGTGGTACACCTGTGTGGAAGGGGACAGGTGGTAAAGTGGTACACCTGTGTGGGAAGACAGGTGGTCAAGTGGTATACACCTGTGTGGGAAGACAGGTGGTGAGTGGTACCGATACACCTGTGTGGGAAGACAGGTGGTCAAGTGGTACCCTGTGTGGGAAAGGACAAGTGGGGAGGTGGTACACCTGTGTGGGAAGACACGTGGTCAAGTTGGTCACCTGTGTGGGAAGACAGGTGGTGACGGTGGTATACACTGTGTGGGAAGACAGGTGGTCAAGTGGGGTACCCTGTGTGGAAAAGACTGGTGGTCAGGTGGTACACCTGGTCGGAAGACAGGTGGGTCAGGTGGGTACACCTGCGTAGGAAGAGGTGGTCAGGTGGTACACCTGTGTGGGAGAAGACAAGTGGTGAGGTGGTACACACTGTGTGGGAAGACAGGTGGTCAGGTGGTTCACCTGTGTGGCGAAGACAAGTGGTGAAGGTGGTACACCTGTGTGGGGAGACAGGGTGGTCAGTGGTAACCTGTGTGGGGAATGACACGTTGGTGAGGTGGTCCACTTGCGTGCGAAGGACAGGTGGTCAGGTGGTACACTGTGTGGGGAAGACAGGTGGTCAGGTGGTACACCTGCGTGCGATGACAGGTTGGTCAGGTGGTACCCCTGTGTGGGATGAAAGGTGGTCAGGTGGTACACCTGCGTGCGAAGAAGGGTGGTCAGGTGGTACACCTGTGTGGGAGGACAGGTGTGGTCAAGTGGTACACCTGGTGCGAAGACAGGGGGTCAAGGTGGTACACCTGTGTCGGAAGGGACAGGTGGTCAGGTGGTTACACCTGTGTCGGAAGACAGGTGGTCAGGTGGTACACTGTGTCGGAAGACAGGCTGGTTCAGGTGGTACACCTTGTGGTGGAAGAAAGCGTGTCTGGTGGCTACACCTGTGCGGAAGACAGGTGGTCAGGTGGCACACTGTGGGGAAGAAGGTGGTCAGGTGGTACACCTGCGTGCGAAGACAGGTGGTCAAGTGGTACACCTGTGTCGAATGGACAGGTGGTCAGGTGGTACACTGTGTAGGAAGAAGGTGGTCAGGTGGTACCACCTGTGTCGGAAGGACAGGTGGTCAGGTCGGTATACACCTGTGTCGGAAGACAGGTGTAGGTGGTTACAACCTGTGTCGGAAGGACAGTGTGGTCAGGTGTGGATAACCTGTGTCGGGTAGACAGGTGGTCAGGTGTGTGGTACACCTGTGTCGGAGAAAGGGACAGGTGGTCAGGTGGTACACCTGTGTCGGAAGACAGGTGGTCAGGTGGTACACCTGTGTCGGAAGACAGGTGGTCAGGTGGTACACCTGTGTGGGAAGACAGGTGGTCAGGTGGTACACCTGTGTGGGAAGACAGGTGGTGAGGTGGTACACCTGTGTGGGAAGACAGGTGGTCAAGGTGGTACACCTGTGTGGGAAGACAGGTGGTGAGGTTGGCTATACCTGTGGGGGAAGCCAAAGTGGTCAGGGTACACCTGTGTGGGAAGACAGGTGGTGAGGTGGTACATGTGGGGAAGAACAGGTGGTCAGGTTGGTACACCTGGGTGTGGGGAAGGGACAGGTGGTCAGTTGGTACACCTGTGTGGGAAGACCACGTGGTCAGTGGTAATACACCTGTCAGTGGGGAAGACAGTTGGTGAGGTGGGACACCTGTGTGGGAAGGACAGGTGGTGAGGTGTACACCTGTGTGGGAAGACAGGTGGGTGAGGTGGGACACATTTGTGGAAGACAGGTTGGGGTCAGGTGGTAACCTGTGTGGGAAGACATGTGTGAGGTGGTACACCTTGTGGGGAAGACAGGTGAGTGAGGTGGGGACACTTGTGTGGGAAGACAGGTGGTCAGGTTGGTACACATGTGTGGAAGATAGTGTGGTCAGGTGGTACACCTATGTGGGAAGGACAGTTGGTGAGGTGGGACCACCTGTGTGGGAAGACAGGATGGTGAGGTGGGACATCTGTGTGGGAAGACAGGTGGTGATGGTGGGACACCTGTGTGGGAAGACAGGTGGTGAGAGGTGAATTACCCTGTGTGGGAAGACAAGTGGTCAGGTGGTACTCTGTGTGGAAAGGAATGCGGTACAGGTGGTTCACCTGTGGGGAAAGCAGGTGGTGGGTGGGATACTGTGTGGGGGAAGGACAGGTGGTCAGGTGGTACACCTGTTTGGGAAGACAGGTGGTCAGGTGGTACACCTGTGTGGGGAAGCAAAGTGGTGAGGTGGGACACCTGTTTTGGAAGGACAGGTGGTATAGATGATCTTAGGTGGACCCAGTGTGGGGAAGACAGGTGGTGAGGTGGGACACCTGTGTGGATGACAGGTTGTCAGGTGGGGACACCTGTGTGGGAGACAGGTGGTCAGGTGGTACAGCTTTGTTGGAAGACAGGATGGTATGTGTTGGTGGGACACTGTGTGGGAAGACAGCGTGATGAGGTGGGAGAGGGAACCTGTGTGGGGAAGGACAGTGGTGGTCAGGTGGGACACCTGTGTGGAAGGAACAGGTGGTAGGAGGGTACACCTGTGTGGGAAAGACAGGTGGTCAGGTGGTACAGCCTGTGTTGAAGACAGGATGGGAGGTGGTACACCTGTGTGGGAAGACAAGTGGTGAGGTGAGGGGACACCTGTTTTGGAAGCCAGGTGGTGAGGTGGGACACCTGTTTGGAAGACAGGTGGGGGAGGTGGGACACCTGTGTGGGGAAGACAGAGTCGGTGGGTGGGACACCTGTGTGGGAAGACAGGTTGTCAGGTTGGTTCAGCAGTGTGGGAAGACAGTTGGTGAGGGGGTTGGTATACCTGTGTGGAAAGACAGGTGGTGAGGTGGGGACACCTGTGTGGAAGACAGGAGTGGTCAGGTGGTACACCTATGTTGGAAAGACAGGTGGTGAGGTGGTATACCTGTGTTGACAGACAGGTGCCCCCGTGAGTTGGACACCGGTGTTGGAGGACGGTGGTAGGTGGGACACCTCTGTGGACAGACAGGTGGTGAGGTGGGACGTGGGACACTGTGTGGAAGACAGTGTGGTCAGGTGGTACCACCTGTGTGGGAAGACAGGTGGTCAAGGTTGGGACACTTGTGTGGGAAGACAGGTGGTGAGGTGGGACCACCTGTGTGGGAAGTCAGGTAGGTGACGTGGGACACCTGTGTATGGGAAGAGAGGGTGATCAGTGGGACACTGTGTGGGAAGACGGTGGCAGGTGGGACACCTGTGGGGAAGACAGGTGGTCAGGTGGTACACCTTTGTTGGGAAGACCCAGGTGGTCAGGTGGGACACTTGTGTGGGAAGACAGGTGGTGAGGTGGGGTACACCTCTGTGGACTGACAGTGGTGAGGGTGGGACGTGGGACATCCTGTTTGGGAAGACAGGTGGTCAGGTGGGATACACTGTGTGGGAAGGCAGGTGGTCAGGTGGGACCACTTGTGTGGGAAAGACGGTGGTGAGGTGGGGTCACCTGTGTGGGAAGAGGGTGGTCAGATGGGACACCTGTGTGGGAAGAAGTTGGTGAGTGGGACCCTGTGTGGGGAAGAGAGGTGGTGAGATGGGACACCGTAGTGGGAAGACAGGTGGTCAGGTGGGACCACCTGTGGGGGGAAGGGACAGGTGGTCTGGTGGTACACCTGTGGGGAGACAGGTGGTCAGGTGAGGACACTTGGTGGGAAGACAGGTGGTGAGGTGGGACACCTGTGTGGGTATGACAGGTGCGTGAGGTGGGAACACCTGTGTGGGAAGACAGGTGGTGAGGTGGGTACACTGTGTGGGGGAAGGACAGGTGGTGAGGTGGGGACACCTGTGTGGCGGGAAGACAGGTGGTAGGTGGTACACCTGTGTGAAGTGCTTATCTTCCACACATAGAGAAGAACAAGTAGACTGATAGATAACGTTATAACTACAGTAGTAATAATTACTGTGGTTATAATTAGTTATTTCTGAATTAACTTTAATGATCGATGGTGAGAATATTGATAACACAGTTTACTGTATACATAAAACTCACCCGTCACTCACACACTCACCCGTCACTTACCTGTCACTCACACACTCACCCGTCTTGGATGTAGCCGAAGAGGAAATTCCCGACGAGGCCGCTGGTACCCAGCAAGACCAGTGCCAGGGTAGGCAAGAAGCTCTTCTCACACACCAGGTCCCACTGTAACAATACCATAACATTTACATTTATATCTATATTTGTCCGCCGAAGCTGTTAGTTGATCGTACACCGCATATCCATCCCGTGGATGGTAGCAGAAGAGCGTATTAATACACAAAAGGCCTAGGAAATAGGCCTCAACAGGGTTAACAGACCTTATCTGTTACAAGCAAATTTAGAAAATTTACTTAATATGTCTGGTATCTTATTTTCACTAATAAAATACCTTGATATATCTTTATATTCCTCAATAATTGGAAGAGATGGTGACCATACAACTGACCACATTGCATTTAATAATCATCTACATGTCTGTCAGACTGTCAGGAGTACTTTATAACCAAGCCTAAGCCTGGCTACTGCAACATCAGCCACTATGTTTACCATGCTGACAGAAGAATAGGTTTAGTAACCCAGGAAAACCCAACAGAGTCAAGCCATCAGACCGGCTTATTTCCACTGAGGTCCCAGTGTTACTGTTATAGTCAAAGCCATTACTGAACACTCGAAGCTGAGCACAGTAGATGAGCACAATAGCTGAGCACAGAAGAGTGAACTATCACACTGCTTCACATCAATGTTATCCTAGCTTATATTAGTGTTATCCTAGTGTTATCTTGGGGTTACCCTAAGTTATAGTAATCCTAGGGTTGCTCAGCGCTGCTCGGAGTAAGATAGCTGGAGCGTGGAGGGAAGCTAGTGTGAGCATGTTAGAGTGTTGAAGGAGGTTTACAGAGAGTGTGAGCATGTTAGAGTGTTGAAGGAGGTTTACAGAGAGTGTGAGCATGTTAGAGTGTTGAAGGAGGTTTACAGAGAGTGTGAGCATGTTAGAGTGTTGAAGGAGGTTTACAGAGTGTGAGCATGTTAGTGTGTTGAAGGAGGTTCACGGAGAGTGTGAGCATGTTAGTGTTGAAGGAGGTGTTCATTACTGGCTACCCTGGGTGGGCGTAGTAACTGGGCTGTACTTCATCAAGTCGTCTGAATCTCTAGTCAGGTTGACTCTATGGGTTCACGACCATTACATTAACAATGTTAGTAGTCAAGGTTGATTTAGTCTGGTCAGGTAGTATTTTGTTAGGTTAGGTTAATCTTGGTTAAGCATGATTTAGCTTCACTTAGTTTGGTTAAACTAAGTTAGGATGCTTTTGGTTAGAATAGGTAAAGATTATGTTAAGTATATCGTGTACGTTCTTATTTTCCAAACTGATATAATGTAGGCTGCGCCAATACTGTTGTACCACTGAAACTTCAAGTATTTAATGTGATTCTTCTTCTCCTTCAATAGATTCTTTATAAAAGCTTAACATAATGAATTGGTCTCGATGTCTTGTGTATCAGGGATCATCTGAAGATGACCTTAAATATCCAACTTTAAGTAAAAATAATGAGGACATCAAAGCTTATGAAATCTTCCTCACCGAATTACAGTCATGACGATCTGCCGGAGCAGCTGTTGTAGACACACTGACGTCTGATTTATGTTGGCTGAAGTCTACAACAACGCGGGAAACCAGATAGCACAAGAATTGCCGGAAGAAATTTCGAAAGGACAGGTTGCAGTATCTTCTGCCTCCGACTTCAAGCCAAGAAACCACAGCCACAACAACGTCAAGATCAGCCGGAAGGTCAGGAGCTATAGTTCCGAAGTTATGCTTGTTGAGTAGCAATGAGGGCGCCTGGAATTGACGCCCACTGGTTGCATGTCTTGAATTCGCAATGACAAGTGTACGACTGTCACCGCCGACGAAGATCAGAGAATACTGACAAGAAACTGACTTGTGGTTGTATTAAAAGTACTTTGATCTTGGCGAACTCTGAACCACCAGGTTGATAACGATCTCGCTAGTGCAGGGTCATCACTGTTAACTGAACGGTCTGAAGCAACAGCAAGTGCAGAGGAATTCGCAAACCCGTTGCCAAGAACGCCAAAATATCCAGAGGCCATGGAAAATATGCCATACCTTATGTGTTGAGAATTCGACCCACAATAAAATGTGAAGACGAGGGACGAGACGTGGCAAGATATGAAAGATTTAGATCGCTTGTACTGAACTTTGAAAGTTGATGATGGCAATTATGGGAGAGATAACAGTGATGGGAGAGATGGCAGATATGGCAGTAATGGGAGAGATGGCAGTGATAGGAGGTAGTACCTGGCTCCAGCAATACACGAAAGATCGAAGGATCAGCAGAAACAGGAGTGCCTATCCCCTCCATGGTAGACTATCACAGGTGTTCCCAACAGTAACATCTGAGTGCTTTAACTCTCATGCATGAGTGAACACGAATTGTTGTTGTAGTTGTAGTAGTTGTTGTTGTTACTGTTGATGTTCTTGTAGCAGTTGTTGTAGTCGTAGTGGTTGTTGATGTAGTGGTTGTTGTAGGGGTTATAACTGTAGTGGTGGCTGTTGTTGTAGTTGTAATTGTTGTTATTGTAGTTGTAGCGGTTGTTGTTGTAGTCGTAGTGGTTGTTTTAGTTGTTGTGGGTGTTGTAGTTGTTGTTGTTGTTAATTTCACAATGGAGTGTTTCAACCTACAAGGATCAAACAGCTGTCAACTTCACTTCCTTTATTACAGTAATAACATATCTTTCCTTCAAAGAATAAAGACGTTGCTTTACTTTTTGCTTAAAAATCCAATTAGAAACTTTATGTGTTTGTTTACGTCAAATCTGTCGTCCAGTTCATCCACTACTAAATTGAATAACCATCAACCAAGCAGAGTTGCACAACGTCACCTTCTAATTGGCTGTGAAGGATCATTTCCTGGCTTTTCATTGGTCGGTGAGGGTGAACAATGGCGGCTGCTGATTGGTCCATTTCCGTCATCAGGCAACCAATGAATGCGCGAGCTTAGCCTCGGGAAGCGGCCAATTGGGAAGCCAGGAAGAATAAACTAACTTTTGACCACACGAAATAATGTCAATACGTTCACCTCTATCAACTTCTTGAAAATGAGTTGATTTCGTTAGTGTCACTTAGTAACGACATACCAACGAATGAGTGATGGAATATGATAGTGAAACACTATTTTGTGTGATGGAATATGACAGGGAATCACCATCCTGTGCGATGGAATATGACAGTGAAGCACCATCCTGTGTGATGGAATATGACAGTGAAGCACCATCCTGTGTGATGGAATATGACAGTGAAGCACCATCCTGTGTGATGGAATATGACAGTGAAACATTATTTTGTGTGATGGAATATGACAGGGAATCACCATCCTGTGTGATGGAACATGGCAGTGAAACACAGTTATCTTTAGTTCCCACAATGTAACTATCAAGTAGAATAGTGTAGGAGCACACTGCGTAGTAAAGAACCTGGGTAGAGCGCAAAGTTTTGCAATGAAAGTAGTCCCGGAATAATGAACAATGAGAGCCTAGAGGAGCTAAACCTGACGACACTAGACAACAGAAGGACCAGATGTTACCAGGCTTCCTCGTATTTTCATAAACCCCTCCTAGGTATGATTTCCGTGTATCTGGGTATGGACCTCCGTGCCAGCGTGAGCCGGACGACCGGTCGCAGGCTTCTCTTTCTGTCTCAGACGCCGGCAGTTGGTCAGATATCTTCCCTTTCCATCGGACGTGGCTCTGGCATATCCCTACGCTATGCCTGATATACCCACTCGCCCATACACTGCCATCTAGTCATCCGTATCTTTTACAGTATTCTGCATAGCTCCTGCTCGCCAGCACAGACAAGTGTAGCAACTAAGTAACTATCATACAGAATAGTGTAGCAGCAAAGTGGGCAGACAGGGGCATTACAGGTCAGTGTCACTAACATGCATAGTATGTAATGTTCTGGAAAGATTGTCGGGAGAAGAGTAGTGGAGTACCTGAAAGGAGTGGATTCATAAACAACACCAGCAGGGTTTTAGAGATGGTAAATCCTGTCTCACAAATCTGCTAGAGTTCTATGATAAGATAACGAGTATTAGGCAGGAGAGAGAAGAATGGATGAACTGTGCTTTTTTTGGATTGCAAGAAGGCGTTCGATACATTACCCCACAAGAGACTGACGGAAAAGCTAGATGAGCAGGCAGGAATAACAGGAAAGGCACTTCAGTGGATGAAGGAATACTTAACGGGAAGGAAGTGACGAGTTATTGTCCGGGAAAAGGTGACAGAATGGGCGAGTGTGACGAGTGGGGTTCCACAAATGCCACTACTTTCCCCAGAACTGTTTCTTGTGAATGTGAACGACATGGCAGAGGAAATCGAGTCAGATGTGCTGCTGTTTGCAGATAATGTGAAACTAATGAAGAGAATACAAACAGGAATAGACCAGGAACGACTACAAACAGATATGGACAAGCTGCAGGAATGGTCTAACAAGTGGCTACTGGGATTTAACCCCAACAAATATAAAATTCTGAAAATTGGAGAAGGGCAAAGAAAACCGGAAATAGTGTACAGACTCATGGGGAAAAGGGCTGCAAATCACCTTGAAAGAAAAGGGCCTCAGAGTATGCATAGTTCCCAGCATGTCACCTGAAGCACACATCTACCAGATAATCGCTGTAGCATTCAGGAACATTAACCAGGAGGCATTGACGACCTTATACACGATACATGTCAGGACCATCTTAGAGTATGGAGCGCTACTATGGAACCCGCATCTGATAAAGCATGTAAAGAAGCTGGAAAATGCAAAGATTTGTAACAAAAGCAGTCCTGGAGTTGAGGGGTATGAACAATGAGGAGAGGCTAGAGGCGCTAAACCTGACAGAAGGATCAGATGTAACCAGGCTCCCTCGTATGCATGATTTCCGTGTAACTAGGTATTGCCCTCCCTGCCAGTGTGAGCCGGAAGACCGGTCGCAGGCCTCTGCGATGATGTCTGTCCAACCGGCGGTTAGACAGACATCTTCCCTTTCCATCGGACGTGGCTCTGGCATGTCCCTACGCTATGCCTGGTATACCCACGTGCCCATAAACTGCCATCTAGTCGGCCGGATCTTTTACAGTATCCTGCATAGCTCCTGCT